GGTGACTCGAAGAAAGTCTTCCTCATATTGCTGTTTAATAACAGCTGGTATAAACTTCCAGTGTTATTAAATGCGTTATGAGGAGGAATCTGTCAGGTGTTTGTGGTTACTCGCCGAAGCTTATCTATTAGCTAGTGTCATGATGGCATTCATACAATTCTATGATGACATCCTTATTTCCTTTGCCAGTGCAGTTATTGTCTGTCTTATATACCTTATTGTCTGTCGTAAGTAGTGATGAGGTATATTTGATAGGTCATCACTTCTGTTGTGAATAACTGACCAGTTTCGAGAGCTTGTATCACGGGCTAGGATTGAATTGGATGACTGTAGTTTGATCTGTGCATGTAGGTTAGAATTTTCTCTTAACTGCTAACACAGTTTCTTCTCAGGGTTGGAATAAGTTGATGTGTAAGTTATAAAGATAGTGTTTTTGAAGGAGCGTTTTCGGGGTAACATTATGAAGTGTTCTCAAACTTTATCATTCGAGCACTCAGTTGATAGCATAAGTAGCTGAAAGCCAGGTAGCCTTCCTGGGATTGCTCTTATACCTTGCAGAGGAACCAAGACCTGAGTCAAGCTTCACTTAGTATTAGCTTGACTTGACCTCATACTGCTTTTGAGTTGAACCGAAATGATAACAGCTGACTTGACTCGATTTCGTTTTCAAGATATTCTGTCAGTATTCGTTCATGTTATGCTGTTTCGGATTATGCGATTGGATATGGGGTGTTGAAATATCTTGCTAATGTGAATATTTGTTTGATTATCCCCTTTGCTTGTGTTGATGTTTATGTAATTACTTCGCGTTGTTGTTTATGTGATTGTGTTGTTCGGTCATTACCGTGCTCATTCTCTCGTTGATCATTATCATGTTTTTGATGCTGTCACGCCAGGCATAATGGAGGGGGACATTAATAGGCATGATTTGGTGGCGTTCCATGAGTGAAGTAGAATTGCAAAATGCATAGGGGTCCTGCACAAGCCCCCCGGGAACAATTTGATGTCACATA